TCCAGTTGCCGTGGCGGTCGCCCAAAGCGTAAGGGTTGTCGCCTCTCTTGATGCTGAGCCTGAAGGCGCGCCAATCCTTGCTGATTGAGGGCGCGTCGTGATACTTCTCCAGGTCGGTGGCCCAGTTGCTGGTACCACCCATGCCCAGCCCCTTGTAGATTGCGGTACGGGCGGCACGGATGCTGTCATCCATAAAGGCGACCCACTGGTTATTATCGTAGACGACGATGCGGCTGTTGCTACTGCTGTCGATGAAGTTCTGGCTGACGCGGCTGGCGTTGTTCACGATGATGTCGTTGATCTCAGCGTTCGAGATGTAGCCCGCTGTATCGGTACAGGGACCCTTGGAGGCGTCGGATGCCGTCGCCGAGCCGGTAAAGAAGCAATCCTTGCTGTAGCAGCCGGCGTCAGCCATGTTGAAGGAGCGGCCATAGCTGGAGACACCGACGACGACTTTGCCCGAGTCCACACCGGCCTTGGTGATCTGGAGGAGGAGGAGTCAGAAGGGGGATCAAAGTACGTACACACCGAGGGGCAAAGGGTCTTGGGATATGTCGGGCACTCAACTCACCATAGCTAGAGCCGTCTTTGTCTCGGTCAAGTTGACGTGGCTACGCAGGCAATTGCCGTTCGCACAGCCTTCTTGCGACCACTTATTACCGTAATCCCATTGGCCGTGGAGATCATAACACATAAGTACTATGTAGTCGACCACCTTGGAGATTTGAGCGATGGGAAACTGTTTGAGGTACCAGTACGATGCCGGTGCGGCAATAGACACGGTCTTGCCGGGCAACAGGTTCTTCAGCACAACCAGGAAGGCGAGGTAGTTGGTGCCTTCGTCGTCGGCGCCCGGTGGAGGACCCGGGATGTCCGGTTCCTGGAAACAGTTAGCAGCGCTCCGTGGCTCGGGTCCGCAAGGGAGGAGGAGGAAGAAGAGGGAGTGTGTATACGCCAGGGTATTCCCAGTCAATATCCACGCCGTCCAGGCCTTTATCTTTGACAAAGTTGGCGATATTGGTTGCGAGGGTCAAGCGATTAGCGGCCGTAACTCCAGTCCGGAAGATGTTGTAAGTAGCGGCGTCTGTCGAGAAGGCCCAGCCACCGAAGGATATCACGCGGTGGACGTTGGTCATGCTTCGGAAGGCTTCGAACTCGTACGTACTGATGACATCGCCCGCTGATACTTTGAAGTCCGGGGTAATGTCACCAAAGGCAAAGTGTATGTGGGAGTACTTGTTAGTATCGATCTGCCGCACGTCCTGGTATAGACAACTGCGGCCGCCCAAGCTGTAGGCTTCATAGTAGCCCAGACTGATCCACTGAGCGGGCGGCTTACCCTTGACCACGTTCGTGCCGCAGTTGGAGATGCAGCCGTTGGTGTTTGGCTTGGCCG